CATGATCAGAGGAGTGTTTCGTTAATTCTGATTTCATTTCTGCAAGATCTTGTGGAACATGACTTTTATGATATTAAGCTGGTATTAATCTCATAAAGGAGCAGGGTTCTTACACTACGTTACTTATTGATTTAATTCCTGATAATTACAGAGAAAATGTATTATCTGTATTAAAGAACTCTCAATTCCTCATAACTAAGTTATGAGAAGGATGTAAGACTAAAACTCCTACGATGCTTTGTTTTCACCATAAACTGAATTCAGTTCAGCTCTTAAATCTAACGAAGAACTCGACACAAGAAAAAGAAAATAAAAATCAGATGATTTTCAGATAACAGAACCAGTTCTGAAACAACAGAAGACCCGGCCCATTGTGTAATGACAATAAAGGCAATTTATTCTATTCTATTCTATTCTATTCTATAAAAGTAAATACTAGAAGTAAAAACATCAATCTGCTCTAACCTTAACATGTCTCTCTCACCAAAATCCCAAAGTGAGCTGTTAAATATAGTTAACTTTGTGTAAACCCACCATAAACAAATAAGAACCTGTCCAACAGTTTATTTGATACCAAAGATTAAAATCTCATTTAATCTTTATTCATCTTAGATTTACAACATCTGATAATCTAAGTATTTCCCATTCCACCTCCTTTACTTTAACTATTTTAAGCCTTTACAATTTTTGTCTTTTTATGTTCTTACTATCCATTATTCATGAATTTGTTTGATTGGAACTGATGACACATTAAAAGAAACACATCAAGCTATGTTACGTTACTTTAACTAACCAACTATTTTTATGTCACGTGATTTTTTTGAAGCTGTGACATTTTGACACCTCGCCTGCAGCAGTTCAGCCACACCTCTTCATATAATACTTCAGATTCATTCAAGAGAAAATATTCCAGTAGTTTCTCCACAAGCTGTTTGAGATGCAGGATTATTCGTTTGTGATCTGAGACGACACATTTGTTTTTTAGGGTTACAAACCTGGATCAACACCTGAAGCAAAGCAGCGCCACTGATCTTGCGGCCACCTGGAAAAATGACGGCGGCAGAGTTGGTGTCCAAACTCATCATCATCATCATCATCTTTTCCATTTCCATGCTGCTGCTCTTCATTCAGTGAGTAGAAATAACCAGCTGTGGTGGAAAAAGATGGAAATTTAAAAAATAATAATAATAATAATAAACCATGTCATGCAGCCGGTACAGCTTTTCTAACATTTTACTGTAGATGTTTTTTTCTCAGGGTTTGGAATGTGAACCTGTCTAACCAGGAGATTAACAGCTAAACGCGCTTTAATGGCGACAAAAAAATAAATCCAAGCAATGTGTTGTAAATCCACAACAAAACCGAAGAAATAAAAACTCATTTCATGTTCTGCAGGTCAAATACACCTTTCCACCTCTGGACTGTAAACAACCGAGCTGCAGCTGTGCCACCGCTGCCCATGCAAAGCAGGTCACCACAGATAATTACTTCAGGAAACACAGGTAGGCAAATATTAACAAGAAACATTAACCCTTTACTGTGATTCAGCAGGGCTGATGTTGAGTCTTGTTGTTTTTTTAAAAGAATATTCCTCCCAGCTTTCCCATTCATTTGACAAATTCCTTACTTTAAGTTGATTTATTTAATCCTGCAGTTCTCCCAGGGCAACCTGCATCGCTACTGAAGGTCAGAGGCACAAAAACACTTCTGATATCTGCTTATCTGGAGCATCGCAAAGAAAAAGAAGAGGTGAGTGAAGATGCACCCACACCCCCAAATTCTACAAGCAGGAAACGAGCTGAGACAAATACGGAAGAACGTTACAAACAAACCAGGTATTTTTATGTGATTCATACTGTCTGCACCTGACGGATCAATCCCAAGCTGTGTCATAGCTTGTTGTATTGTTTTATACTACCTGAGAAACCAGAAAAATCAGTGAGGAAGTCAAATACTTTGTTCATCTGACAGTTAAACTAGAAGCATGAAGTCATCTAACTCTTGAACCAAATATGTTTGTCTTTGCAGTCAACTCAAAGTAAAACAGTGAAATGTTTTAGTTTTGCAAATTATAAGGATCTAAAATTTCTACATTTGTAGTGTTTGTTGTTGTTTTAATATTTGATCACATATTCTGTCATTTTTGTTGTTTTTTTTTTTCTTATGTAAGGTTTATGTCATTTCGATCGTGCTAAGAAGGGAGAACGTATCCCTCCATTGTCATCTCCGCTGTGAGGAGCAGCTCCTCATCTCTGGAGGGGTCAAGACCATCCTCAGAGACCACTTTAATTTCCCTTACGGGGCAGCAGTCATCATGTGTCCCCTGCCCTCGGGCTGTAAGACACCAACTCACGTCGCCATCACCTCTGCTGTTTCCAAACTCGAAGGTATTAAAGTTCAGAGCTGATATTTGCTGGCAGCGATGCTGATGACTTTTAATGAGTGACCTGAGCTCCTCCTGGGCACTGTACAGAGAAAACTCATTCCAGGCGCTCGTATTCAGCTCCTCGCTCTTTTACTTCAGATTCAGACCTCAGGATTTCTAGATGAGGGTTGGACTGCAGATGGACAGGTGAATTGAGAGTTTTGTCTTTTTAGCTAAGCTCTTTTCTTCACCACAACCGACCAGAGCAACACCCTCAGTACTGCAGACGACGCCTCACTCCAACTCCATCCAGCTATTGAGGCAAAGACTCACCTTGACTCTGACCAATAAGATAAAAGTACAATAAAGTTGAGCAACTAAAACCCTGACAACACTTGTGGCGGGAGTGGAGAATGATTTGCACGTGAGTTCAACTTTAAGCAGAGCAACTCCAGTAAGTTTGGAAATCTGCACTTCTTAGTTTGAACTGAAAAAAAAAACTCCTTGAAAGAGTAAAAATGATTAAAAATATGTTGACTTCTCTTTAAAAACAATTCTTTGAGGGGTTTCTGTTTGACTGTTTTTAGGTCCAGAAACCAAATCTTTACCCTCACAGAGTTGATGTGTTTCATGAACCTGACAAAGATTTGTTGGCAGTTGCACCTTTGTTTTTCAGCTGAGATGAAAGCTCCTTCAAATTTAAGATGTCTGCCTCACACAGAGGAGTTTAAATGTGGTGACTTATTTCAAGGTGATGATGGGATGGAGCAAGAGACGGCTACAGATCAGTGCTGAGTCAAAAGATGAAGCTCTTAACAATCCAGCCTTCACCTACACTCATGAGATTTGGATCAGAACTAAAAGAATGAGCTCCACGTGTCTGAACTGATCTGTGGCTGCCTTCATCCTGAGAGCAGGTTCATTTGGAGGGAGCTCATCCAGCCGATGCTGCTCTGCATCAAAATGAGTCAGCAGAAATGTTTCAGGGGTCTGATTAGGATGGTCTCTCCTTGGAGATGTTTCAACATGTCCTTCATGGAGGAGACTCTCTGACCTGGGAACACCTCAGGATGCTCCGGGATGAGCTGGAGGATGAGGGCTGTCTGACGGGAACTCAGTGCTGGCTCTAGCCATTTTGGTTCCCTAGGCGAGTTGAAGCGCAACCCCCGAACTATGTCCCACCCACCCCAATTTGAACCCCTAAAAACAAGTTTGACAGTRTAAGGTACTATGGTAAACTTAGATTTATTTGCTTTCCCAGAAAGCAAATAAATAACAGATGTGTCAACTTGTACGGATTGTCCATAAATTATAAGGATTTTACGTCATTTTGCAGGTAAATGGACGTATAGAGGAATCTCACGGATTTTTTTTCAAGTCTTACACATTTTTTCAAAACCTCATCTTCAAATTTATCTAACATGTCAGAGCCTGTTGGATGATTTAAAAAAAAAATAAAGTTGTATGGATTTTTTGTAAAATTGACAGATTTTTGAGGCTTTTTATCCAGGTAAACATCTGAAGAGGTTGACATGTTTGGGACAAAAAAATACAGACTTGTTGTTACTGAGTTTGTCAACACGAACCGCTACCTGAGAGGCACTACTAGCCCCTCCCCCATCAGAGTGTCGGAGCAGGACGAGTCAGTGCAATGTCAATCAAATGAGAGAGAGGGTGGGGGTGATTGCTGCATTGTGGGGGGGGATGTTTTATGGGTAGAGTAGTTTAGTTTATTTTTCCTATGATACTTCTAGTTTTTTTAAGACAAAGCTAACTGAAAGGGGCGCTGAGCAGAGTTACAACCAGAGATTACAAATAACTTTTTTTCTTCTGCAGTTCGGCGCCCCCTCCAGCAGATGGCGCTCTAGGCAACCGCCTAGTTCGCCTATGCCAAGAGCCGGCTCTGCAGGAACTATATCTGTATCAGAGAAACCATTTCAGCACAGGAACCAAGATGAACCATTTAATGACATCATTTAAAACATTTACAGTCACTTTTCTTGAACAAAGACTGAACATGATGTGTATTTGATGAATAGCTGCAGGGTTTAGTTATGTTTCGGTTCAATTTTCCTTTAAAACAAACCAAAATAATTGTGTATGATTTATAAAAATATCCTCTTTGTGTCCGTTTAGGATTAAACACATCTGATCATCAGTTTCTGGAGGTTAAGAATCAAAAGAAACTGACCGACTCCTTTCGATATAACTTCACCGTCTGTTTCTCCACCATGTTTAATTATACCAACGTCCTGCAGGTAACAGAATCTTACATCCTTTTTTTTAATCAAATGCCAAACAAGCTGTGGTGCCTCTGAACACCTAACAACCCTAAAATGATCAGCTCAAGATAGTCACCTTTAAATAAGTGCAGGTTAACTGCCATAGTAATTATGTAGAATAATAAAGTTACAAAGCCATACTTTATATCTGCTCTCAGACACATGAATATAAGTCACGCAGACGTGAACATGTTTTTATTTAAAATATATCTTGTAAACAAAACAAGCATTTAGTTGAAATGTATAGAACCTGGAGAAAACCCACATGTGCACAGGATGCTCCACCAACTTTGCTGCCTAACTTTGTTCATTATACAATTATTTAGAATAAAAACTATTTGTGCAAATAATCTTCTGAGGGCCCACATCTTACTGTTAATGATACTGGTTGTCCTTATTCAGAGGGGCTAGGTTTCATGTTTGATTTTTATTTTAAACAAAATGCATATTTTTAAATTTTGATTGTAAAAAAGTGTGTTTTTCATATTTATGACGTTATATTAATCTTAAATAGCTAGGGGAAATTAAAAATGAGCCGCATTGCGCCCCCTGCCCCCCAAGCCAGTGGTGCCCCTGCAAACAAGACGACAAAATACCTAAAAAAAAAAAACTGCAGTTTTCCAAAGTAAAGTGAGCAAATAAAACTATTTTGACATGTTTATTTTTAATATTTTGATATTTCAGATCACTAACTGGTACTGTTGTATGCAGTATATTTAACTCACCTCATTTTGGGGAAAAATTATATATTTTTCAGGGAGTCAAGCCAATCAGTTTTTAGATCAGGGCCAACTCAAGAGCAAATTTTTACCATCAAACGCAACATAAACTCCAAACGTTCCTACCAGTTTGAGTAAAAACGATTTTCACATCTTATTTTATCCAAACAAAGCTCTGGTTGTGATGCTAATGAAACACTACTACTACTTTATTTATAAAGCACTTTAAAACAACCACAGCTGCAACAAAGTGCTGTGTCTGTAAAATCAAAACATGAAAAACACAAAATAAAAAAACTAATGGGAATAAAAGAAAAAGTAAAATCAAGTCTCAGGCTGTGCCACAGTGTATACTGAGTGTCTGTAAGTTAAACGTTTTTTTTTACAGCAACCTCTGTAAAACAGAAAATAAATTACATAAAATAAAATAAAGGAGAATCATTCACACCTTGAAGCCATCCATCCAACACTTGTTTCAGTTAGGTTATGGGGCAACCAGACATTTCTTTCATAAACATTTGAAAAAAATGAATCATACATTTAAATCTTTGCTGTTTCGTTGGTGTCTTTATGTTTACTTTATGTTGCAGCTGGTGCAGAGTTTGGAGATGCTTCAGATCCTTGGAGTGAACAGAGTTGTCATATATAAAACTAACTGCAGTGCTGATACACAACGTGTTCTGGACTACTACACAAACAAAGGTTGGGCGTGATGCGTTACATGGCTGTTAGTGGTTTGAAATCCAACAAGAAGAATATTTTTAATCACAAAATAATCTTAAACCTCATGGTCTCTTTTTGTCTCCTCAGGTTTTGTTGAGGTGATTCCTTGGTCTTTATCAAGTTTTCTGAACCCATCTCCAGGTTTTATGGTGTTTAAAGATCCTGGTGACATCCACTACTTTGGTCAGATACCAGTTCTGAATGACTTCCTTTACAGATACATGTACCAGTCCAGATATGTGAGCCTGCACGATCCTGACGAGCTCATCCTGCCGCAGTCTGTCAACAGGTAGCTTTGGATTGTCTCAGACCTCATGCATGATGTGTATGCTTACACTATGGTAATAAAAATGGAGCATTGGCCCAGAGGCAGGGTGGTCATGTTCCAGTTGCAGGGTCAATGGTTTGATCCATTGATGGGTGAAAGAGAAACCTTGTAAAGTCCTTTTGACCATGATTTAATCCCGTTCCCTCTCTCAACAGCTGGGTGAAGTTGTTGCCTCTGCTGGAGAAGAAGTTTGGTGCTGACAAGTGTTACATGTTCCAGAATAACATCTTCCCCAGAGAAGTTGTGCTGCCGCCTCCAAAACCTCAAACTCTGCCCCCGCAGGAGCACTGGAAGAACGTATCTGGGGTGAACATCCTGGCTCACCTGTACAAGGAACCCATGGTGGCCAAATTAAAATGGATGAAGTTTAAAATCATTGTCAACCCTCGAGCTGTGTTCAGCCTGACTGTCCATGGGGTGTTGAGCTCACAGAGGGGCTGTGCCTGGGTTGATGCGAACATAGCACGGATGTACCACACAAGGTGGGACAATGATCCACATCCACCTGCACAGATCTGGTCTGATGGACACAAGCAGCAGGCTGAGACGCTCTCACCGTTGTGTTTTTGCTTTTTTTATCTGCAGATCTCAGACGCRAACACTGAAACCAGATGAGCTGATTTATGATGGGCGACTGCTGAGCTACTGCACAAACCTCATACCAGGTGTGAACAAGGTGCTGAGAGAGAGTGGACTGGTACCTGCAGGCAGCATGAAGTAGACTCAAACTGAGAAACTCTGACATGTAAAGACTGTGAAGATAGAATGTGAGGTTATTTTAAACCTCCATCCAATCATACCTCTGCATCTTTGGTCATTTTGTACCTGGACTTTTTGAATTTCTAACAGGAGACTTGGCAGAAAATATGTTCTTAAAAAGATAATATGTGGACAGGGCCAACACTGTAAGCCCAAATTTTATTTTACATAATAAGTCAAGCTATTATTACTAATCTCTGCATGTTTTTTGCAAAAGCCGGGACCATTACTTAACAAAATGTGTTTTGTAAACTACTCAAACCAAGTTTTTGCTTTACAAATGGGTCTGAGCTGAGACAACTCACCTTTAAATGTTTTACCAGTTTTAGGAGGGGCTTGTCAGTGACCTGACCTTTGAGCCAATAGGTGGCTGTAATGTACCTTTTAGTTTGCTAACATGAAGAAGAAGAAGAAGTGGAGCTAAATGCATGTTTCTTCTGACTGTGTTGGCTGCATGGTTGCTGACTGCATTGTTTCTGTTGCATTACAATGATTTTTATTTGGTAGTTTGTTCAATCTGTTTCGTTTTTCTAACCGCCCATAAATTGACTTATTCTTGTTCTGTCATTATCCAAGGCGATCTGTTGTAATTTAGTAATTTTATTCACTAATGTCAAGCCTGAAAACCTTTTGAGGATGCAGTTGTAGAATAGCTGACGTCTGTTTACTGCTTTGTGTTAATGATTCAAATCTTTCACACTGTAAAATGTTTGCTCAATTTTGCATGTTTATAATGTTAAACTTGTATATAAGAAACAAACTGACTATAATTTACTGTACATTTAATAATTTCTATTAACATGAGAAATGAATAGTGATAAATGTAACAATTACTGATAAATGTGAGCAACGATTACTAATAAACATGAGTAATGTTGAGTCAGTTACTCATAAACAATGATTTTAAAATCTTAAGTTATTTAGTAATGGATAAGCTTGGATTCAAGACTTTATGTGAACGTAACTTGAATTGTTTGGTTTTTGATTTTGTAAAAACTATCCCGGTGCAATCACTTACCATAAACAGCTTTAGTAATGATTGCTAATTTGGGTTTACAGTGAACAACCTGGAATCTGTGGAAACTGAAAATGAAAAGTGAAGTGTCTAAATAAGGGTTAATGTTCTGGTTTGTTCAAAGCTGCAGAGAGAGAGGCTCCCTTTATGAGTGGAAAGTTGCATTTCCACCATCCAGATTCTTTTGAAGTCTCATTAGTGTGTTTGAAGTCTGACATGAAAACCAAATGTCCACAATAAAATACCTCAAACTGCAAATCAGTCTTTTCTTTATTTGTGACGTAAAATACATTAAAGGTCTGATGTTCCTTGAAGGAATGCATATCACCCGCCACCTTCCCTGCAGAGTTTTAGACGCTCAAGTTTTCATCAAACCTTTAAAATACGTGCATTCTGCTACAGTGAGGTATCTTTTTCAGAGCATGTGCTGCGGAAGACTCTCCGCTACTACCACATCAATGTTCAGCTCAATATCTGTAAAACTGATTAAATTATGGTTTTTAAAGTTAATTATGTTCAGTGATTACTGTTTGAAAGTTTCTTCAAGTTAAATTTAAAAAGCAACAAGTTCTCTGCTTTGGTTTGAATTACTGTTCTTTTATAATAAACGTGTAAAAATAAAATGACTTCATGTGTTTTAAACCTCATTTTCAAGTCAAAATGTGACTTGTAAATTCCCCAGAACCTGAAACTGCAGAGCAGAGCAGGAATGTGGACCTGAACCRTGAACAGAGATGAGCTTTTTTTTAATTCGATGAGTCTTCAGGAGGTGTTGCAGCTTTTTCTGGATGACTTCTTGTAACCGAGGTGAGTGAAATGTGGGAATTCCCTCAGCAGGACACTGTTTGAGATGAGAGAACATTCACGGGTCTGTGCTGCATAATACACCTGCTCYTAAACAGGTCATGAAATGTCTCTGCTCAGCGGCTCTGCTGTGAGTTCATCACCTGCCTCCTGCATTATGTATCCTGAAACTTTGCCCTCCAAACGGCTGCACCTCCCACAAACAGCCCAGTTCTCCTGCAGAGACACCCAGCCTCATTCTGTCTCCTCTCTGATGTCCCGAATACCAATTTAACAACTCCAAGTCACTGTCAGGTGAGGCTTCATCTCCTTTCACCTCCGTGACCTCCGTTTGGCTTTATGAGCCAATTAAGAAGAAAAAGGCAGATTTACAGAGAGTCGCAGCTTAGACTCTGATTCCTGCTCTCACTCTTCAGTGTGCACATCGAGGATCTGACTCACTTTCACACATTTTATTTCTGTCTCACCTCTTTGCTCCCTGTGGGTCAAATGCATGAAAGTCTGTATAAATTCACAGCTGGGAAGTGTGTCAAGCACATGTTCACACTGCAGATAAATGCAGCTGAGTTTTTTTATGACAGTCTACTTTTTACAGTGTACTCATCAAGTCAAGTAAACAGATTGTCTGTCTTAATCAGAATCACAAAGAAAAGGTACACAACTATTCTATATTTTAATAAACTCATATTTTTCAGTAACTGTCTGGTATTAAAAATCATTTAAAATGACAATTATTTTTTGTTTATTTTTCATGAATTTAATCTTTAAACATTAAAAAACAACTTAAAGAAAGGGAGATTATGTTTGTGTCAAAATATTTGACATAGTTTGGCGCCATCTGCTGTCCAACTTTCAACACTGCAACAATAAGGTGTCATGACTTTATAATAACTGTATATGTATTGAATATCTTCATCATGGGACTGTTTTTATTTAACTTTGATACCACTTTAAGAGTACTCTTGCGTTTTATTAAAGCACTCTAAGCAAAGATTTGCACATCAGTAACAAATTACACAGAAGAAGTTCTAATTATTTATTGAGCATTTTAATAAAATAGCATGTAGCATTTGGTTCCAGGCCCTGCACAGCTGCTCCTCAGTGAAAAGTGGGGTGGTTTTCTGTGAGGAGGAAAGAATTGTTTTTCAGAGCAAATAAGGTCTACTGTTTGAAACTTATGCAAATGTTTGTTTAGAGTCTGTTGGCAGAAGTATAAGTGTTTGGAGATGCCCAAATATAAATACTCACCTGGCTATTCTGTGTCCTCTCCAGGGTGTTTGTGTAAACGCTTCCCCCTCCAGACGCCATTATAGGGGTGGTTAGGTGTGAGGTTAAAATATAAATTATATAAAGTAAATGGGGAAATGTGTATAGTTTTGTATTTATTAAAATCTGTTTTATTTATAGGTGGAAGTTGTAAATTGGTAAACTCACCTGTTGAGAATAGTTTAGTCCTTAACAAATGAGGTTTTTTAAGGCTGCAGTTGTGTCATTAGGAGAGTTGTTTTGTTTTTTGTTGTTTTTTTGTTTTGTTTTGTTTGTTTGTTTGTTTTTTTGTGCCGTGAAAAAGCCCAAAATACCATGTATTGTCCAGGAAATTGTCCCAATGTTGGAAAATAAATTGTTGCTGCTTCCAATAAACTCTGCCTCAACCTTTATCTTCACTGCAAATCCAGTCGCAAAGGCTACCTGTTAAGGTAGTGTTCTGATGGTCTTTGTGTAAAATTAAAAAGTAAAAACTGAGAAGTCAAAACTCCAAACAGTTTAGTTTTTTAATATTTAATTAAACATGAAATTAAACTTTCATTTAAAATATTTGAAAAAAATGTTCAGGTA